TATCATTTTTGGTGCCAACCTAATATTCCATCAAATTAATGTCCTCTAACAGCCATTATCCGTTGTCTAACATTGTACCCTATTAACAACACTATTATTTTTGTATGTAAATATTGGTATGCATTTTTTAATTATTGTTTTAAGGATAAAGTTCTAGAAATGAAATTAAGGATGTGACCTTTCAGAAATAGTTGGTACATACTGCAAGATTGCTCCCACAAAGATTCTGTCCGTGCATGCCAAGTCTAGGTAATGTCACTGTGTGCCTCTGTCATGAGCATACCTTGCCAGCACTGAGTAGCATTATTTAAAACTTTCTTTTTGCTAATTTTATAGTTGAAAAATATATCATTGTTTTAATTTGCATGGCTTTCATCACCTGAGAGATTAAAACGATGTGCTACTTTCTAAAAATTCTTAAGTCTTTTGTGTGGATGCTTTTGTTCTAAGGATCTGCTCTTCCTCTGGAACAGCTCCCCTTCCAACTTCCTGACTCTAACAACGGCAGCATCACTCTCCTTGTAGCCTCAATTTCTGAACCACAGAGTCAGATTTTTTTTCTCTGTCAATCCCTGCTTTCCCATCAGTCACCAACTGTGCCCATTGCTTTCTTTGAAACTGTTTTGGTTTCGTCCTCTTCTCTGTTCCCATGGGAATCCACCTTCACAGGCGAGGCCCACATGCCTCCCACCGGGATTACAGTAAGCTTCCTGGTGATTCTCTGTGCAACCCAGTGTCCCCTACTTGGATTTCTCTTCCTGCTGCAGCAGCGCTGACTTCAGCAAAGCAATGCTTTGCACACCCCTGCTTAGCCTACTGGATTAAACCTAGAAGCCTCTGCCCGACACTTGCCCTCTCAGCACCACTGCTCACAGCTGCCCAGCCAGAAACCTCCTACGGCCCACGGTCCCTGCGGCTTGCCTGTGCTGCCCTCCTGGCGCTTTCTCCCATTCCCGGAAGGCCCTTGCTGCCTCCCTCTCCTCTCGTGCATGGCCTATAATTTCTTTTAAGGCTTTGTTTAATACTGGTCACCCCGAATTTGTCCTAGACTCACCCACATGCTTAGACCTTTCACACTGTCTTGCCATTGCTTTCAAAAGGATGAGACAGCTGGGACAAGTGGCCCGCGGTTTTCTTCCTAAGAGAAAAAGAGAAGCAAGGAGGCAGAGTTATTTCAGGAGGAGGCGATGCATTCATTTGGAACCAGTTGCGTTTGGGGCGCAGGATATGCAGATAGACTGAGCTCTGGGCCGCCGGAAGCCGGGCAGAACTGAGGGCATGCGGAGGATTTAGAGCGTCTGTGGAAATGGGGAGAGCCCCGGCCTCGGTCTGGGGCAACGCTTACGTCTAGATGTCAGAGCAAGAGTCCAGGGTGAAGAAAAAAGAATGGTACTTAGACATGGAGCAGAGAATCAAAGGAGGTGGAAAAGGAGGCAAAGCCAGAGTAGGCTACTCTTTCAGGAAGTTCAGTAAAGGAATTCTGAAAGGAATGCAGCGGGATTTCAGAAAAAACTGGGGAGCTAAACCAGTGCAGAGGTCCAGGGGAAACGGCAAGCAGGGTAGGAACTACTTAAGGGACAAATAAAAGAGGAGACTGCGCGCGTGCCAGGGGGAGGGGGGTAAACCCCCGAGCAGGTGTGTGCCCGGGGCTGCGGGCTCCGGGCTGCCGGCCAGGCTGGACCTGGGGAGCCTGCGGCGGCGAAGCGGACTCTGCGCCTGGAAGAGGAGAGAAGGGAGAGCGCGGCCGGCCTGGCGTCCAGTCTCCTGCACCAGGGCAGGCGCCCAGAGAGGCCTAGGAGCGCTCAGGGAGGCGTAGGCCACCTGTGGCCACCTTTGCTCCATCCCTCCAAATACACATTCCAAGTACAAAAAAAAAAAGCCTCTGTCTTTGTGAACTCAGCCCCTAGCACCCTCCTCCACGGGGATTCTGGAGCTGCCACTGCACCCAGAAAATGGCTCTCTGAAGAGAAGAGCTTCCTTGTGGTGATGGCTGTTAGATACTTAAAGAAGAGAGCAGAGGAGGCCACATATCCATGGCTGAGGAACTTGCCAGAGATAGCATTACCTAGTGCACCCAGCCGGCCTAGGTTTTAGCCCTAGCGCCACCGTTCAGTGGAGTCAAAATTCTAAAGGGAAAAAAGACACACAGTGAAAAGTCTTCCTCCTGCACCTGCTTCCTGTGTATTCACTTCCTCTCCCCAGAGGCAGCCAAGGTTATCATTTTCTTATGTTTACTTCCAGAAACATTTTTTTAATATAGAAGGCATGGGCCGGGCGCGGTGGCTCACGCCTGTAATCCTAGTGCTCTGGGAGGCTGAGGCGAGTGGATCGCTCAAGGTCAGGAGTTCAAGACCAGCCTGAGCAAGAGTGAGATCCCGTCTCTACTAAAAAATAGAAAGAAATGATCTGGACAACTAAAAATATATATATAGAAAAAATTAGCTGGGCATTGTGGCGCATGCCTGTAGTCCTAGCTACTCGGGAGGCTGAGGCAGGCGGATTGCTTGAGCCCAGGAGTTTGAGGTTGCTGTGAGCTAGGCTGACGCCATGGTACTCACTCTAGCCCGGGCAACAAAGCGAGACTCTGTCTCAAAAAAAAAAAGAAAAAAATATAGAAGGCATGTATTTTTTCTCTCCCTTTTTAAACAAACAGTAGATAGTTTAATATCTTGCTTTCTTCAGTTAGTGATTTTTTTTAGATACCGTTCTATATCAGTATATAAAGAGCTTTCTTATTCTTATGGGTGCAGGGCAATCTACTGAATGAGTGAACTGTAATTTATTTAACCTACCCTTTTCGGTGGACATTTAGCTTTGTATGTGCATTTATAATTCTGATAGATACTACAAATTGCCCCCCAAAGAAGTTGTACTGGTTTCTACTCCTACCAACAACATGTAAGAGTTTGGGCAATTACATAATGTCCCCGAGTCTCAGTTTCCTTCTCTGTGACATAAGCAAAACAGTAGCTATTTCTCAGAATCACCGTGGAGATTACTTGAGATGATGCATGTAAAGTGTTCGCCATGTAGGAGTTGCTGCTCTGCAAATAAGGATATTATTTTATTTTGGATCAGAGCAATATTGTCCCAGACAGATCAATGGCTATGGTGGGCTCTCCTTGTCAGCCTGGGGCTCTCTGATGAGGACAAAGGGCAGATTCTGCAGGAAATTAACAGCTCGGGGTCAGAAGAGTTGCGCGCGCATGCTCCTGCCAGGGGCGCCTTCTCTCCCAGGTACCTCGACCTCCCCCATATGGCTTCTACTCCCAGGTCCCTCCATGATGAAAAATCGCGTGGAATCAAAAAAAAACCTGTGGGACCAAGGATCCTTTCCCCTGATCATCAAGAATCTCGAGATGCAAGACTCAGGGACTTACATCTGTGAAGTGGAGGACAAGAAGGAGGTGGAACTGCTGGTGTTCGGACGTGAGTGGGGCCTGCCAGAACGAGCGTGCCTCCAGCCCAGCTCCCGCCCCAGAACCTGCCTGAGCTGGGGACACTTCGCCAGCCCAGAGAGGGATTGACTGGCCATGAGTTCCCTCAAACCCTCCTGGGCCTTGGGTCAGACAGGGGAGGGAGGAAGAGGCTAGAGAGAGGGAAAGAAAAGGGTAGGAACCAGAGGAAGGAGAAAGAGACCCTAGGGAAGGGGGGAATGGGGAGGAGGAAGGAAAGGACAGAGTGGAGGAGGAAAGAAGGTGACCCTGCCTTGGCTGGGGTGGCAGCTGGGAGCTGGCAGGAAAGGCAGTGTTGGTTCAGGGGACAATGCAGAGACACTCTTGGTTTCTTGTCCTTTTCCCTTCTCTGTGGGGATGGTGTGTGTGTGACACAGGTGGCCTGTTTCCTCCACAGTGACTGCCAACTCGGGCACCCGCGTGCTGCATGGGCAGAGCCTGACCCTGACCTTGGAGAGCCCCCGTGGTAGTAGCCCCTCAGTGCAATGTAAAAGTCCAAGGAATAAAAACATAAACGGGGTCAGTGTCCTCTCAGTGTCCCAGCTGGGACTCCAGGACAGCGGCACCTGGACATGCACCGTCTCCCAGGACCGGCACACACTGGCATTCAAAATACACATCTCAGTGCTGGGTAAGAGGGGCCCCTCCCTCTGTAGCCTCCTCCCTGCCTCAGGGCTGACAGCCCCTCTTCTCTCTCACTGCCCTGCTCTGGGTCTGGTGCTGGGGGATGGGGAGGCTGGATCCGGACCCCCAGAGCTGAGGTCTGTCCTGAGGGATACACTGGGCCCCCTCATCCTCGGCATGGTGGACATGGCCACCGGGAGGGTTGGGGAGGGTAAGGAGGGATGTGTGAGGCCCCAGAGACCTCTGGGGGAGGCCCCCAAGGAGGAGTGGCAAGGGTGTCTATTTTCTTTGCTGTCTCAGCTCCCCACCTCACCAAGGTGGCAAATCCACTTACTCAGGGACACTAATGCCGGCAAGCCAGATCTGAGGAAATTCTGCACTGTACCTCTATAGCCCTGAGCGAGGCACTGTGGGGAGACCAAGGTCCCACCCCGGATCCTGTCCTCCGGGTGCCTATGTGCTAGTTTGGTGCATGGCCTATGAAATCCTGGCTCTGCCACAACCATGTGGCCTTGGGCAAGTTACTGAACCTCTCTGTGCTTGGTTTCTGCGTCTGTAAGATGAGGATGACGCTAATTGCGATAGTACCTACCCTGTAGGTGCGAACTGACATGTGTAACACACTTAGAACAGTGCCTGGTGCACAGAAAGCCCTGTTGTAGTGTTGGCTCTTATTTTGTGAAGGGTGAGAAATGACGCCTCCAAGGAGTAGAGGCCAAGTGGCTCCTGCACTCCCGGGACCTTGAGGTGGGGGAAGTCCCCCAACCCCCCACCCCTGCCCTGCGGCTGGGCTGTTCTGTGAAGGTTTCTGGAGGAGGGAGGTGGGCTGCCTGGGAATATGCTTGGTGGAGAGACGGAGGGAAGACCAGAGAGGTAGAAGGAGTTTAAGTACCTGAAGTGACAAGCTAGGACTAAGTTTGGACTTACCCGGTCCCCTTTCCATCTCTTTGCTGCCCCCGCCACAAGCCTACACCCCTGTACACCCTCATCTTCTTAACTCCTTCTCACCCAGGGTCTCTCTCTTCCCACCTCCAGCGTTCCAGAAGGCCCCGAGCACCATCTACAAGAAAGAGGGGGAGCAGGCGGAGTTCTCCTTCCCACTCACCTTCGAAGAGGAAAACCTGGATGGCGAGCTGAGGTGGCAGGCGGAGGGGGCTTCCTCCCCCAAGTCCTGGATCACCTTCTCCTTGAAGAACAAGAAGGTGACTTTGCAAGGGGTGACCCAGGACCCCAAGCTCCAGATGGGTGAGACGTTCCCGCTCCGGATCACCCTGCCCCAGGCCCTGCCCTGGTATGCTGGTTCTGGAAACCTGACCCTGGTTCTTGCCGAGGGACAGCTGCACCAGGAAGTGAAGCTGGTGGTGATGAGAGGTGAGGGGCTAGGCTGAGGAGGGGAGGGCAGGCGAAGGAGGCGGAGAGGCCAGGCCGCTGGGGGGATGCCGAGGCCCTGGTTTCGGGTTGAAGTGATTGAGGGCCATCTGGGTTTGGCGCTGGTTTTGAACTGATTCATCCATAAGCCTGCCTGGGGCTGCTCCACTGAGACTCTCCAGAGCAACTGGGCTAAGAACCAGGGTTCTAGTTCTGCCTGTGCCCAAACTCCATGGTCCTGGCGAAGCCCCTACCCACCGCGGGCCTGCTTTCTCACCTGTCTAATAAGGATAACAAAATCTGCTCTTTGCTCGCTAATAATGATGATAATGTCAAACTCTGCTGAGTTCTACGCTTCCTTAGCTCCTTATCATCATAACAACTCCACAAATAATAATGGCTAACACCTGATGGTTAGCACACGCCAGGCCCCATTCACACACTTTACATGTGTTCGTGCATTTAATTACTGTCCAGGGCACGGATCGTTAAGGAACTTGCCCGGGGACACACAGCTAGTAAGCAGTAGAGCTGGGAGTCAAATCCAAGACCACTGGACACCAAAAGCTGTGTTTTCTCTCTTATGATTGCATGAAAGCGTGCCCTGAGAAGCTAAAAGAAGGCCATCCATGTAGAGTGTCATTTTGCGGTTTTTTTTTCTTGTGACAGGGTCTCACTCTGTCACCCAAGCTAGAGTGCAGTGGTGTCATCATAGCTCACTGCAACCTCAAACTCCTGGGCTCAAGCCTCCCAAGTACCTAGGACTACAGGTCCGCACCACCATGCCTGGCTCATTTTTCTGTTTTTGTAGAGACCGGGTCTTACTCTTGCTCAGGCTGGTGTCGAACTCTGGTCATCATTGATCCTCCCGCCTCAGCCTCCCAAAGTGCTAGGATTACAGGCGTGAGCCACCGCCAGGCCTAGAGTGCTTGAGGGTGCTGGGGACCTGGAGGCCCAGGCTCCCAGTGTCGGCCTCCTGTTCCCCTGCAGTGACTCAGCTCCAGAACAATTTGACCTGTGAGGTGCTGGGACCAACCTCCCCTAAGCTGGTTCTGAGCTTGAAGCAGCAGAACAAGGAGGCAAAGGTCTCAAAGCAGGAGAAGGCCGTGTGGGTGCTGGACCCTGAGGAAGGGATGTGGCAGTGTCTACTGAGTGACGCGGACCAGGTCCTGTTGGAATCCAAGCAGGAGGGTAAGGATCCAGGTTCCATGGCCTAAACCCAAGCCTCTGCCTCCTCGCTGTGGGACCTTCCCATGGTTGGCAGAGACCACCCAGGGTCCCAGCCTCCCAACTCCTCTGAGATGGAGGGGCTATGGGCATGGTGGCACGGAGGCGCAGAGGTGAAAAGGTGAGATGGGGCACGGTTCCGGGCTCTAGCCTCCCGTGTGCAGTCCTGTAAGTTCCCACCTCCCTAAGGTCTACAGCCAAGGAACAGGGCGCAGCTGACCAAGGGCCCCCTCGCTGGCTCTGCTCCGAAGCCAGTCTCTGACACACACACACACACACACACACACACACACACACACACGTGTACATACGCACTCACAAGGGGCCCAGGGTCTGGAATGTGGGCCACTGCTCCTAGCTCTCCAGAGTGCCCTAGAGTCTCTAAAACACAAAACCCCTTCCCCAGCTCTGCCCCCCTCAAGCCCTGGCGGCCTTTGAGAGCCCTGTGGACCATGCCCCCCCCAGCCCTGGGATCAGACCGCTGCAGTGGGCCCTGTGCTCCCAATGGAGGGCAGTGTGCCAAGCACCCCTCTCTCTCTTGCAGTTTTGCCCACACGGTTCCCCCAGGTGCAGCCAGTGCTCCCGATTGTGCTGGGCGGCTCCGCAGGCCTGCTTTCCATCGGGCTCGGCATCTTCTACTGTGTCAGGCACCGAAGGGTGAGTGAGCCTGCCCAGACCTCGTCACCCGGTCCCCAGGGCCCTCAAGCACCTCAGTCCTGCACCGGGGCATCCTGTATGTGGGGCTGCTTCTGGTCCAGCTCCCTCTGCCCACCCCAAGTGCCCTGCTGCCCTAGCTAGACCTCACACGGAGGGAGAGATAGGAAGGAGCCGAGAGTTCACTCCAGGACAGATGGCCTTAGCCACAGTAACTGCTTCTCCTCTCCCAGCTGCCCCCACTCCCCCCTCCAAGGGGCACCTCCCTTCTGGAGGCCTGGGACCCTCATGACTCCCCTCCTTGTCCCTGGACAGCGCCGGGCACAGCGGAAGTCTCAGATCAGGAGACTCCTCAGTGAGAAGAAGACCTGCCAGTGTCCCCAGTAAGGATCTGGGTGGAGGGGGTGGGAGAGGGGAGAAAGGGAAGGGGAGGGAGGGGGATGGAGGGGAGGAAAGGGGAGGAGGAGAAGGGGAAGGAGTTGAGGAGAGAGGGGGGAAGGGGATGGAGGGGAGGGGATGGGGCGAGGGGAAGGGGCGGCAGGTAGGGGTCTCCTGGAGGGCACTGCACTGGCAGAGAAAAGCCACAGAGGTCTGGAACACACAGGAGTTGCAGTGGGTGGACTTGCTCCCCTTATATTTTGTTCCTCCAGCCGGTTCCAGAAGACACATAACCTCATTTGAGGTAGGAGGCCAGAGGGGCTGCCCACTTGCAGCCTCCCCAGCTGTCTGCCCTGTGTTTTCCTGTCAGGCTCAGGGCCTGCGGACAAGATGAATGTAGCAGATCCCAGGCCTCTGGCCTCCTGCTCCCCCTCTACAATTCACCATTGTTTCTCCCTTGCTGTTCCCAACCCTGGGTGAGGCCCCGGCCCCACTGGCTGAATCTTGCTCCAGAGTCTTAATCCTACGATTCCTTTCTAATTTCCTTTGCGTCCAAGCCCTGGCCCTTCTCTGATTATTTGTCTTTGACCCTCTCCCCCACTGCTCACTCAGATCCCAGGGGAGGGCACAGTGCCAGCCCCGCCTGGCATGGAGGGCGAGGCTGGGTGTCTGGAAGCATGGAGCACGGGACTATCCTTTTACAGGAGGGGACACTGTGAGCAAAGAGGGCAGGAACTTGCCCAAGATCACACAGCCGGTCAAGGAAGCATGCAGATCCAAAGGCTCCTCCTGACTGCCAGCCCCGCTGCCCCATGCTGCCTGCTCCTCAGCCTGACTTGGCAGGGCCACAGCCTCACGTCCTGACCTTGCACAAACGGGCCTCCCGACACACCCTGTGCACACAGCCACTCGCTTGCCACAGACACGATTCCTTATCACCCAAACAGCACATCTCAGTATATAAACCCCTTTCCTATCCTCTGTCTATTCAAACCTTACAAAAATCCTACAAGGCTGGCAGTGACAGAACCAAGATTATCACCTGCAGGCCGCAGGCAGAAAGGGAGCCGAGAGGGCTGGATGATTGCTTCCCAGGGTTGCGTGGCTAGCAAGCGCTGAGTCAGGGCCAACCCCGTCTCTCAGCCCCTAGTTCCACTGCTGCCTCTTGAGTGCAGACACAAATACCACACAGATCTCCACGGTGGCTCGTCACAGGACCCAGTATGCACCTTTGGCTTCACAGGAGCGCCCCACCCACAGGGAGGGCCTGTGTCAGAGAACTCACGCATGGAAGAAGGCCTGCCTGCCTAAAACCCCTCTTTCATCACCTGCTGGTGGCAGAATCCTGTTACCAGAGTACAAAGCTCTCAGTTCTCCTAATCAGAGCACAGGCTGAGAGCAGAGGCCCTGCGGGAGAGAATGCCCAGTGACCAGCCACTTGCCCTGTGCAGAACCTTCTGGAAGTGTCTTTGCTGGACGAGGTGGGGAGCTAGCCTAAGACTGAACCCTCTGAGGGACCCCTGTGATAGCTGGGACTCAGCGCCCCTGGCCTGTGCCCTCCTCCAAACCACTCGGGACACAGGGCAGTCAGGGTTACAAGTCGTCTATGGTTTCTCCCAGTACCCCCAGCCTCCTCTGCCTCTCTCTCCCTTCCCTTTCTCACCACCCGCCTCAGTCCCAAACCGATTTTCCCTTTTCCTTTCTCCCTCTTTCTTCCCAGCTTGCCTCTTCCAGAAAGACCACCCAATGCTGCAAGGGCCCCCATTGCTCACTTTGCAATTCTG